CCGCCGGCGGCTCGCGAGCCAAGACCCACCCTGCCCTCCCACTGGCTGCGTGGGCTGGGGATTACCACAGCTCCTGGCTCTTTTTCCTGAGCTTTGTTAGCCGGGATGTAGCAATACACGAGGAGCTATGCAGAAAATAAATTTTAATCCAAGGGAGAGGAAGGGGAACAGTAAAAACCAGAACTTCTTCAGGTACTTGGTCCCTACACCAGTATTTGAGCAGGAGGTTGCTGGCCCTGCCCTTCCCACACAGCTACAGGAGCCGGAGCTGCCAAGCCACCTCCACGTAGCTGATGGCTGCTCTGGTACAGGGCCCACGTCACAGTCACACTCACCACGTACAGGATGTGGCAAGGAAGAGGGCAGTGTGTCCTTGGGCACGGGGTTGGGCCCGGCTGCAGGAGGTGGCACCTGGCGGTGAGTCCCGGCAGGGCAGGCTGCAGCCCTGGCTCTACCCCAGAAAGGTGGAGATGAAGACGCTGGTGTCCAGGTTGAGCGTGGCGTGCCACCAGCGGTCTGGGAAATACAGGACCTGCGGGGAGAGAGCGGGTGGCTCCCACTGGCTCCTGCCCTCTCAGGGGCTGTGGGGTTCAGCAAGCACCAGAGAGAGGGAGCAATCCCACACTCCCCTCTGCACGTCTCTGAGCTCCATCAAGCCGTTTTCCCACTGGAGGCTGTTCAGTTTTCCCTGGTCCCAGGCTGGGCCGTGGGCCTCGCAGTGCCACGAGGGCAGCACGAGGGGGCCTCCTCTCTGCCAGGGCCATCGCTTCCCTCCCACGCAAGAAGCGGACAGAGTAGGGCAGGAGGGCTGCACCCTGCATCCTCCTCGCAGCCCCAGGGTGCTGGGTGAACCCCGTGCGCCTCGCCAGCAGGAACAGAGGTACAAACCCGGCAGGGCGGAGAGGGGCTGGCTGCACCGCGGGCACCTCTCCCTGCTCGCCAGGCCCTCTGCGCTCCCTCCCCCAGTGCGGCCGGCTCAGGGGCGGGCGAAGGACTCACCTCCCCGGGGGGGCTGGGGTACACTCCAGCGGCCGCTCTCCCGGCGGAAGAGTGGGATACGTGTGATGGAGCCAGGCCAGCGTTGTCTCGTTGGGGTGAAAGTGGGGTGTTTTATCCGGCGGGTACAGAAACCAGCGCTGAAAGACAGAGGGGGAACCTCAGCCACCGGAGACCAGGATGGGGCTGTTTCCCCTCCAGCCCCTCACTGAGGCCAACAACAGGAGTGAGCTGTTTTTTTCTCCCCCCCACCAGGGCTCAGTTCTCACCTTCCTGCCGAAGATCACCTCTGAGTAACCGGGGCCATGCCAGTGAAAGGGAACACCTGAGCCGGAGCCTACAGAGAGCGGGGAGAGAGGTGGTGCTGGGAGAACCCCTTTCGTCCCCCACAGGGCTGCCAGCGCCCGGAGGGTCCGGTGCCTCGTGCTGTTGTCCGTGGCCTGTCCCGGCACTGACCTGCAATCCCAAAGCTGTAGGCACTGCTGGTGCCGGGGATGCGGAAGGGAGGAGGCA